AGTGGAGCTTGAATTGGTTCAGTGCACCCCTATGGGACAGCAGATACATCCCAGACTCTTGTAAAATGGCGGGTAGTAACCAATGAAAACAGCGACCATGGCGAGACACGCACACACTAGCCAGAGGATCGGGTCGCACATCCAGTCAATTACGGGTAAAATGGAACACTATCCCAAAATGAGGCTATTTTTTTTCCTCTGAAAACAAAATCATTCTAATTTCTGTTCATCTTTATTTATTCATAAACAAAGTGCTTTAAAGACCATCAGAAAACCATTTCTCGATACCACGATAAACAAAATTTTATGACTCAAGTTAAAAAGAGTTAAATGACAGCAAGGATAGGATAATTCAGGAAGGTGAGCGAGCAATCTTTATTTCGATTGGGAAATGTGATATTTAACTACCACGATATAATTAAAAGAGTAACCTAGCTAGTATGACCGATTCCGTCCACAGTTCGAAAAGGAGGAATACTAACGCTCCACTCAGTAGAACTAAGTAGGCCTACCATGCCTACATCCATCCTAATAGTGTAAATTACATCTTGGCTTTGCAATGCCAGGTCCAACCTGCCAAATAAAAATAGTGGAGATCACTAAGTCCAGCATAACTACATTTATTGAATCCCACTTCCCACAATAAAACCCAAGATGTGTAAAAACAATAATTTGAAGTCATCATGACAACCTACCTGGCTAGCACAGTGGCAGAATGCATGTTGAACTGTATAGTGTGGGGGTCATTGATTTCCATCATCTGTGTAGTTCTCAAAGCAAAGGCCATTCTCGACAATTGAGGGCGCTCAGTATTAACATTTATTTACAAGAAATTGCTGAATTACTTCCCAATCTTTTTGTTTGCCATTTTTACCAAGTGATATTAGTTGAAGTGAATGAGCCCAATTAATTTGAAAACAAAGATGAGAGAGAGGGACTCGTGGATTGCAAAAGTGACAGCAAAATAATTTATAAAACCTGGCAAGACATTTGTACTTTTTGTGAATGTATGCAGCTTTAATTTCTCTCAGGAGTAAAACTGCAAATCCTCATCAGCAAAAAAGAAACAAACAAGATATTTTTTAATTCAACAAGTACTCGACAATTTTTGTTTTGACACGAATAATTGCAATGGTTATTCAAAAGAAACTGATTGCACACTACTAAATAACAAGCTATAGAAACCATCTCTATTTTAAAGTTTGTGGTAAATATTTGAACACGAGAAAATTTATTTAGTATTTCATTTACGAAAGTCTAGAATATATAATCTGCCATTATGCAACAATTTGGCCAGCAGATAATTATAACTAGTAAGTATATCAACCAATGGTTTAGACACATTTATTTACAACCAAGAGGCACAAAAATGCAAATGGGTCAATGTTTCATAGAAATGGAAATCCTTACTTTTAGGACCCCCATTAAAAATATGCATACCTTCAACAGTTACTGAGTTTCACATTTTCTGTCAGCATCCGCTACAAAATGACTACTCAAACCTTGAGTTGTGTAAGAAGACTTCCTGAGGCTGCATAATGGAACTCGTGCATGGCTTGTCAGAAGCGAAAGAATTCGGCTACCATAAGTGTCCCAAGAGTAAGGATTGCCATGGGATATTTACTGTCAGACTGTACCTACGCTGGTAACGATGCACTCTTTAATACACTGCTGATTTTAACGTGCCTTTTGTTTTAAAACAATTTTTGACTGCAATCCATTTTTTAGCTTAATAATGACAGTCTACATGGGTTTGCAAATCAGAGAACTGCAGTGCTTATCGATCCGTCTGCACAATTATCAACATATCCCAACATGGAAAAACAAACACAATTTACATCAAGAACTAGAACCCAAATACACGTCCCAGTTTGGGTGTATGTTTTCTTCCACTCTAATTCTACATGTAAGGGGGAAAAGCACAGCATTGAGTAAAATATAAAAAATTATGCTTTCCATCTATAGTTACTCTTAGTATAGCAAAAAAAGTGTCAGTTCAAAAAAGTGCAGATGACTGAATCACACATGAACATACATGTAAATGATCGTCATTTGACTCTTTGGTGTACAAGCAATGTGAACACATTCAGGTATCTCGGCTTCATTAGCTATAACGCTGAGCAACTGTAATCGTCTTGTCCAAGTGAACCACTTGTGACCCACCATCCCCAAACCAGGCTGAAGTAGGTAACTTCATAATCCTGAAATAGTGGAACTTCCACTGTTCAGATTTTCACAGGAGTTTTACAGCTGTCACATATTTTTCATTTACCATGGATCACCTTCAACTGTTAAAAAAAAAAAAAAAAAAAAAGCTGAAGGAGAGGAATTGTCCAACAAATACCGACTTCAGCCTGGTTTGGGGACGGTGGGTCACATTTGGATTCACCATATGAAAATACCAAATATATATCTGATTCCTTGGCTAGAGCTGAACAATTTGACGAGGCCAGTTTACAGGTGCACAGCAATAAGCCTGTTTTTTGGGGCGGAAAAAGCACCATCTGAACAAACAATCCCAACAGTCTTGTGTAAAGAGAGCAAAAAAGCTCGGTCACCCATTTCGCTACTCTTTAAGCAGTTTTGAAATCTTATTCACTTGACAGTACTTTGGGAAACATTTCGACAGATCGTTTCAAAGAATAACTGTGAACAATGTATTCCAGAAGGATTAACGATAAGAAAGTTTTTCTTGGGAAATGCTGGTAAGGACAGAGGCCGTGTTAAACCTGGTGACCACTGAGTTACCCCAGATGAAAGGTACCAAGTTGCAAATGGTTACCTGAAGTGAAGAAAAATGACATTGCTTATCCACTCCCCAAATACCACATGATGACATTTTTATCTTTAGCACCTTCCTACTGTGCACTGCCGAATACAGCACTTCTCCAAGTCCCATTTCAAAAACAATTCTGTTTGTGTGGGTCAAAAAAGTTCATTTGCCACTTTGTTCTACTGAGGCAAGAAATCTTGTAATGTTTGCACAATGGGCAAATTGACAATGAAAGCTTCAAGGGCAATGTGTCAATGTCTTTTATCAATGACTTTGGAACCAGATTTCCTCCTTCGCTGCACTGTATGACATGGGCATTTTTCTGAATGACTCTAGGTGTGAGTAGCGTCCGTTTTTCGGAGGGAGATGATCTTTAGTCAACCTCCTCAATGGTAGGTCCTCCGCTGCTGGCTCCCCCACTGGGTGCCCCACCTGCTCCGGGGAAACCACCCCCTGGCATACCACCCGGCATGCCTCCGGGCATATCCCCCGGCGCACCTCCTGCTGCCTGGTAGAGCTTAGTGATAATGGGATTGCAGATTTTCTCCAGCTCCTTCTGGCGATCCTCAAACTCGTCCTTCTCTGCCATCTGTGAACCAAAACGACGTCAGAAGTGAGAATGAATAACGAAGACAAATACACCAAACATCAAGCAGCGTGGTTGTGTAACAATGACAGTCACATTATTTTTGACTTTACAGGGCTCGTTTTAACCGACAGGGCATGAGTTCTCTCCTGAATGACTACAATTACTTGAGTTTTGAACTAGCGTGGTGCTATTGAGCAAGGTGCAAAAAGTAGCCACACTGACTGATGTTGAGAGGATCTAAGACC